GGGCAGGGGGAAGGGGATAAGGGGAAGGGAACAATTGAAGTAGATTATTCATCCTTGACAGGAAATTATCTAATATACAATGCAAATTATCAGAATAAATACAGATTACCTCAAGAATACAAATTCTAAAATACCCTAATTTTTAGTATAAAATAATTTAGAAAGTTGTATTATGAAGCCTTGTGATGAAATGTTCCATCTGAATGCTTAATGCTTAGTAGATCAAACACAACACTCATTCCTTCTTTTGTGGGGGAGCAACAGTACAATCCAATCTTTACTGCATTACCACCTGACTCAAGGTGAGCAATACGGACAAACTTCCAGTCATCAGGGCTTCCATCTGGTAATTTACTCTCAATCTAGGTAATAAACAAAGATAATCATGATAATCATAATTGTAACAGAGAGATTAGTTACTGTCAAAAACTGCATTTGTTGCTCATCATAGTTGTTTAGGTAAATAACTGTTCCGTCATTTGTCTCATATTTTGGAGTCACCATCACCACAATACAGAACACAATATTTCAATTACTAAATTAGTGTTCTTTTTGGCCAGCTGCTATGCTAAATGATTACGGTACTCGTCACTTTAGATACTGTAGTAGTTTGACAAAGGCCACTGCTGGTGTTCTGTAATTGGTGAATTTGATCCTCATCATCTAATTATTCATGACCCCACTGATACAAAAATTGGGTTACCAAAGCCATTCACAAAAAGATTACATCCAAATTATTTATTTAGGAAAGAAAATGGATATAAAATTCCTTTAGTAGGAATGCCTTGGTTGTGGTTCATATCTTTTCTAAGTTTAAAAATTTTTTAAACTAGTTTGAGTTTTATATTTTACTTTATTTTAGATAATTGTTATAAGACAGTGAACAACAGAATAAAATCAAAATCAAACTGGCTTAGAAATTTTTAAAATTAAGGAGAAAAATCAAATCCCAACAGCTATAAGTAACAACAAAAAGAACTCTTAGGCATTACACAATGCAACAACAATAACAAACATAAATACATGGAAACAAATGCACATTAAATAACATCACTAATCAAACTCTCTACCTAACAAGACTTAAAGTGCATATGACACGAGATTTTTTTCTCTTGTTTCTTGTAGTTGGATATCTAAAGAAAATGTTTCGAAGCTTTAAAAGAGCTGGAAAAATGTAAAAAGCATTTTTTTTGCTTTCAAAATACGCACAATTTGACTTCAAATTTGTCCCAGAGACTGGGACCTAGTCTATTGCCGTAGAAGTTATTTGTGACATCACATTGTGTACCTTTGCCATGAAGGTCTGTTGTTGCTAAGAGGATTCTGCAGTACATCATAGTAGATAGATAGTGCATTGAAAGGCAAAGATGTCCAGTGATTCTAATGATTCCTTTGAGTCCGACTCTTCTGAAAGTTCCATTGACTTCGAAGAATCTGGGTACACAATGTGACATCATGTGCGATTTTGGCTGCGTGATGACTGGGACAAATTTGAAGGCAAATTGCGCATATTTTGAAAGCAAAAAAAATGCTTTTTAGATTTTTCCAGCACTTTTAAGGCTTTGAAACGTTTTCTATAGATATCCAACTTCAAGAAACAAGAGAAAAAAATTTTGTGTCATATGCACTTTAAGCACCACAGCAGATGTACCACAATTAGTAATACTTATTAGTAACTTGACATAAAACAGCTCTTCATTACAAGACCGGTATGGTACTATATAAGATCACAGAGAATATTTTAGGATCAGAAAAGGTGTGCTGAAAAGAATGCAAAAAATCCTGACACTTACAACATAATCATCATTTATCTTGTGAACCCTAAGAGCTAGTTTGTTGCTATTCCATGACTGTGTTGACCAATCACTCCACTTGTTTGTCACAACACAGCTCATGCAACATTGTCCATCCACATACTCCAGACCCTGCCAAGACACATTCAGCAGAAAAATCCAAAACTTACTACACTGTAAAACAGTTGCTTTCTGGCAACTGAAACAAATTAAAGTGACCAAGTACAAGGTATAGAAATTTAACTGCCTCCTGGTTAGCTCAATTGGTTAGGGGGCCCGACTGTTGTGTGGGAGGTTGAGGGTTCACGCCCTGGCTGGACCAACACTCAAAGTCTTAAAATAACTGAGGAGAATGTGCTACCTTTCTATAATATCAAGAAATGCATAGACATTCTAGTCTTCTCGGATAAGGATGAATAAACCGTAGGTCCCATCTCCTGCTTCTATTAATTAGTTAATTTGGATAGGCAGGGGACATTAAAGAACCCACTCATGAGATTATACTGCGATGTGGTCTTGCCTGTTCACTAGGAATGGGGGGGAGACTGGCCTTGTCATTGTTAACGCAGGATCCACTGTAATTGGCTATGCTGTAGTGGTCTCCCTGCCTGAGTTAATTAGACAAAGCTAAAGAAATAAATATTAAATTCAAGACATTATAATACTCACAGTTTTTATCCAGTGATCACCATCTACTCGGACCATAATACCAGCCTATTACATCAACAAAATCAATACAGAAATTTTTGTTAAACATTGAAGAACAAAAATGGGCAATACTAAAACATGACAGTTCAGAAGAAAGTTCGTGTGCCTTGCTTACAAGGTACTTCTAGCAAAACACAAGTACATGTAACCAATTCAGTAAACCTGTCCTATAAGTTGGGTAAAATTATTTTCTTTATTCCTACACTTTCATTTTTTTTTTTTAATGAAATTCACACTATTGTTCTTCTAATTTCAAATCATTACCAACTATTTATTACTTGAATTTGATTATCAAGACAAACAGTCATTGAAATGTCATTGTGTTTGTATCTCTTAATCATTTCATTCTCACAATCACTACAAATAAAAAAATTAGATTTAAATATATAGTAATAGTTATACTGAACACAGCTTAATGGCATCTGGCCAATTTCTGTACAATTTGACAGGTTACAGACCATATATTACACAGGATCATACCAAAAATAAGGTATTTTAAAAAGTTACCGTTTAAGTTCACCTGATCAAACTGGTTTAGAGCTTTGAGTTCAAATGATGTTTCAATAACACTGTTCATCTGTTTCACCACAAGATGAAGTAAGTGGCCATCATCCTTAATGATTTGTGGATTGTAATAAGTTCTGGAGAAAGAAAAGTATGCACAACCCTTTGGAACAATAGGAAAACAATGCATTCTGGTGAAAATCTAAGTCTCTGACAAATTGATCCAATTGGCATTATATTCATTTTCAAAATAAGATCTACATTACACCATGGAATCTTCCTCATATTATGTTGATTACCACATGGCACTGTTAGAGCAATTATGTTGACTGACATGCAAGAACATCAAGCTACAAGGTATTAAAGTTTGTCATTATATGACATTATCTAAACGTAGTAACTGTGAAGATAACTGCACAAAAAGGTGATTCACAAACCTCTTCCAAAAATCTGTTTGTTCTTTCTAAAACAAAAATTAGGAATATTAAGTATGCAATTAATACATTAATTAATGCAGTTAGCTCATCATAATCATTATTCTAGCTGGCAGTGCTACATGTACATATTGCTTTATTTTTTTAAGAGCCTCAATACAGCACTCAAGTTTTCTTTCAATTGTTAGTTTACAGAGTGACCTTGCTACATAGTCACGATCCAACCTTACATAAGAAAAAAATTTCCCGAACCCCAAATTAATGGAAAGTAGACTGATCAATTTATTTTAAACCAGGACTGACTCCCTAAAGTATATCTTTGTTATTAAAACTCCACATTCATCACCCAAGGACATCATAACTCATTAACAGCTGATATAGGTTTCTGCTTCCTCAAAAACAAGTCAAAAGTAGATTAAGCTCTCTCTTTGATACTAAAGCAAACAAACTTCTAGGTTTTTATCGGACAAACACCACGAAAACTTCAATATATGTAAAAAAATAATCATGTCCTAGAATTATGTTTTTCTAGAGTTTTAAGAATTTTTTCTCAACCTTCGGTAACTAGTTTGAAATTTTCAAGGCCAACCTAGAGTGCGTTTTCTTAGATCTTTTTTCATGAATTTACCTACTTCCACAAGTTTTCACTTCTGTGTTACAATTTGCTCGTCTTTGGAAATACGGGTACCTGTTGCCATTAGATTTGACAAGCTACATGAAAAGAACTTACCGAAAACACTTTTAAACCTGTGTCACCATTACAACGTAGTTTATAGTGCTGTGGCGGATTATACCAGAGAAAGTCAGGACCGAGCTTTTCTGAGCTAAAATCTAAAGATAACGAAAAATGGTCTCCCAAGGCCGCCATAATCAGCGGCTTGATTACTGCAGGCGCGTGTTATCGTCAAGCTTTTCAATAGCGACAGTGAGGACTTAGGGAACTCTCTAAATGAGTTTTTGTAACTTTGGATTATTCCTACGTAGGCTTGGACAAAGGTGAGTTTAAATCAGATTATTTGGACTTATTAATACAGTATATCCAATAATTTAGCTGGTAAGATTCTCTCGTTTACGTACAGGTAACCCACACGAACGATGTTCCTTGAGCTATTACGATCGCCATGATCACCTGTAATCGGCATTACCCAGCTTACACTCTCTCTTTTCTTTGAAAGACTGATGCACATCTATGGTTTGCATACAACATACTTCTTGAAAGATAATCGAGTTGACAAACCGCATAAACCATCCAGGAAAAATCTGATCGTCGACAAAGTACTTCATCATTCTATCGTCACGAAACACCTTGTCACGCAACAACTACTAGTAACGTTATGCAGTAAATGGTTTGAACCCGGGGGTAACATGTAAAGGTGTAGTCTGATCGTCCGGGTGAGTGTAGTCCTGAGAAGGACTGTTGTCGGTGGTAGTGACTGACGTTTCGTGAATTGATTGTTGTCAGTTTCTACTGACAACAATCATTCACTTGACTCTGATGATGACTTCCGCACAGGTTGTCGAAACGTCAGTCACTACCACCGACAACAGTCCTTCTCAGGACTACACTCACCCGGACGATCAGACGACACCTTTACTAGTAACGTTGTTCTCTGGTGATGCGCGCTACTTCACAAGGCACGGATTGTTACAAGTTAACACGCGATATAAACCAGCGATCAGGATTTCCATTTTCTGTCGCTGTAAGTGTTAAGAGCTGCTACAAATGGCGGCTGGTCCGAGACAAATTACAACCCCCTGGCGCACCCCGTTTTACGCTAAAATACTGCATTGCCTGACGGCAGTTTGAGTGCCACGCACTTTTCGAGTCACACACGATGGGCAATGGGGAATAAATAGAAAATAATTACCATATTCGAACAATGGAATAAGTCAAGAAGTAAACAAAATTTGGACTCTTAACCTTTTTTTTATTTCTTATCATTTACCTTGTGAAAGACTAAACAAACACACACATCAAAAAACACGAAATAGGGGTTATAATTCCAATCTCACATGCACTTTTTCAGCAAGAAGAATACCCATTATCATATCGCTTAAGGTAAATAAGGAAAAAGGCTGTTACTTTATAGCTATTGTTTATTACCTGTCCTCGTTCTGCTTGCTCAAGATCAACTACCATTGTAAAGAAATGATTTGGATATATCAACAAAGTTGAAATCGTTAATTAGCCACCGTAACGATTACAAAAGCTGACGTTTCGAGCGTAAGCCCTTCGTCTTTCGCTCCGACGAAGGGATAACGCTCGAAACGTCAGCTTTTGTAATCGTTACGGTGGCTAATTTACCATTTCAACTTTGTTGATATATCCAAATTATTTCGTTACCCCCACCGACGCAGCCCCAAACAGTTTCTTTAGAAAACTATCGGCCTTTACCATTGTAACTACTTATGAGACTTGTTGTCGGACTGCAGCTGGTCCACTTGGAAAAATTTACGAAAATCACGCAAAGAACCCTCCCTATATTTTGAAACCTATTTTATGCGAGTCATATTCATACTTTGTCCACATGTGTAACCCTCAAAAGAAATATCTCAACTGAAGAGAAAGTCGCAAAAAACTTTCGAAGACATCCGGAAATTTCAAATTCTTATCCAATCAGATACTAGGACCAGGATCACAGGCACAGGCACAGCTTAAAGAATCACAGAATCACAGGCACAGCTTAAAGAATCACAGAATCACAGAATCACATGAACAGCTTAAAGAATCACAGAATTACAGGCACAGCTTAAAGAGTTGAAAGTCAATAAACTTCACTGGATCACGTCTCGTAAAACATGACTCATAAAAATTTTGAAAATTAACACTAAAATTGCATGTGTTTTCCCCTCATATGACATCTCCGCCTCCAGAAACATTTGGTTTTATGTTTTGGAGAAAGTCTGAAAAGTTCCTTACTATTCATTCGGTTTTATTTACATAAATTTGGGACAGCCATTTTACAGCAAATAGCGACTTGTCTCTAGTCTATTCTTGAGTCTTGACCTGAGGTCCTTTTCACATAAATGGCTAGCTTTTTCTACTTGTCTTGAAACTGACAAACATAATTACCTTTTCGTGTACAACAGAACGAATTCTACAGCTCTCCCCTAAGATAACTACGTTCATGTGGTGAAGTCCGTCTTGCGAGCGAAAAAAATTGCAGTGCTATGAGAAATCTAGCTTTCCAGCTCCAAGTCTTTAGGGGCGCTGGCGTTTATATACTCCCATCAAAAATTATCTCAACGCACAGCCCCTGCACGGATTGATTTAACCCCCCCCCCCCTCCAACCCTCCTAAGTTAAAATAACCTATTATAATTTGTCTTTAAATTTTCATAAGATTCCATATATGGAGCCGACTCTTCTCACTACCTCACACACTAACTGCTTCACTTTAGTGTCTGTGCCGGTGGAAATAAGGCATGTCACAGCGGGAAAAACCGCTGGTAGAACAGCTTTGAACTGCAATGTAGGTAAACTTAGAAGTAGTTCTAGCATGGTTATAACCAGATTTGTCCAAATGTTTACTTGAAGCAGTTCGTCTTCCTTTCGCTTCAAGAATTGTCTTTCAAGTTCTATCATGCGGATGTCTTCCTCTAAGAGTTGTTGATAATGTTTCGATTTGAGATCGCGAGGGAATTTCTCCGAAGAGGAGGAGGAGAGTTTCCACTTTCCGAGAGGGGAGTGCAGCTGTTCGTCTGGGTAGCCATTGTTCCAACTAGAGATATCACGAGCATGCGCAGGGGAAGATGTTGACGAGAAACTTCTCTCCAGATCGACCTCGAATGACATGTTGCTTTGAGCTTCGCTCTTATACTGATTGTAAAGACGCACGTACACGCTGCTCAATTGATCACAAGCCTCGTTTAAGCGCCGTACAATCCAATCCACGTTGCGATCTCCCTTAAGCAAGTCATTGTGGCGCGCGGGGCTGCTCACTGTCTCCTCTTTGATGCCGTCGTCTTCTTTATCCTGCTGGCTGTTTGAGACACGGTCTCCTGTCAGAATGCGTTTGATATGAGAACTGGAGAAGTGCTCTCCACTGTGTCTACAAATTTGGAATAGAGTGTGGAGGTAACACGTGAACGCTGTTGTTGATTGCCGCAGGAGGTTCGCTGGCGCGTCAAGCTTGGCTAGCTTTTGAACTAACGACCTCAAACCAGGCCGCGCGTTGAACTCGTAAGCGACCGTGTGAGACTCCATCAGGCAATCAAATAACACTGATAAATTAGCTGGTGAGAGGTACGAAAGAAGACCAGGAAGATTTGCTTCAGAACCCTCACTACTGAAACCTTCTAGTGAGGCAGGAGGGCTTACTAGGTTCGAACTTTGTGCCATGACGCTCTCCGCATTGTCGAGGAGAATGGAACCGAGAGTCTGCAGCAAGAGCTGATGGGATAGCAAACTCACCAACAAACCGCGAAGAGGGACCCTGGGAACAAATGAAGTACAATGTCATAAGTATAGCTAAGAACATGATTTCGAGTGCGATTTGGTGTTTATATGCACGGCTAAATTTTTTAAAGACAAAAAAAAATTACAAATGTTTATTTACACTAATTGAAATTGTACGAGAAATCATGTTGTCACTTGTTGATAATTTATATGAAGAAAGCATCACACAAAGTCGTTACCCTCAGACGGAATTTTGGCAGCGCGTACGCTTTTTGTAATCTGCACTCGTGTTACAACTTTGCACTCGAGTTACATGAAAAATGCATTCGTTTTTAGCTAACCAGATGTGCGTAATTTTTTCATGTATACTATTACAGTCATTTGTACATGACAACTCAAGCTCTGAACTGACAGCATATTAAATATATATATCAAGACACTATTCAAATTGAACAATACTTTGTAGCTAGAAACATTTTTAGCGAACAAAGATAATTGAACGGTGGATCATTGCAACACACAAAGAATGTTTCAGCTACGAAAGTAACTCTGACTAAACAAGATCGTTCATTTTCTCACCTTTCTGCATTCTCTGGTTTTTCTTTATTTTCCACTGATGACAACACAAATACATAAGACCGCTGATCATCTTCCTCGTTCGCAGCCCTGGGTGTTTCTTGTTTATGGTTGGAAGATTTATCCACCTGACTGTCCAGTAAGAACACCTAACGAAGGAAAAAGAACAAGAAAATCTAGAACAACAACAACAACAACAGACGTGAACAGATTTCCCCCTCTTTAGGAGATCTGCACTATGGGGAAGAGGGCCGGTACACAAATTTAAAAACTGGCTTGAATTTAGACCTCAATACTTTCATGGATGATTTTTCTCAGTTATTGTTAGTTGTCTTGTCTCCCGCGAACGATGTAAATTTCATCTCACGTGCTGCCGTAATGATTTGGTGAAGAACAAGTAGAATTTAGCGATATAGTCATGATTGTCCATTTCTAGATTGGTTTTGCCGTATGTGCTATGTGAGTAAGAAACCATTCGCCACTCTCTCGACCAATCCGACGCGCTACCCTCTCAACCAATCAGACGCGCCACCCTCTCAACCAATCAGACGCGCCACCCTCTCTACCAAATAGACGCGCTACTCTCTCAGCCAATCAGACGCGCCACCCTCTCAACCAACCAGATTCAAAAGAAAACCAATTGCAACTTGATCACTCGTACTTTTCTGCGAAGCAGTTAATTTGCTTTCACTTTGAGTCCTTATTGGCTCCTTGTGATATCTTCCATTCTTCTGTTTAACGGCCATGATTACTTCAAGTCTAGTTTTAAGATACTTAATTAAAATGCGCTATAAAAGCTATGGTAATGAACTTCATATTTCATTGCTGTCTTAAATCTTACTTGTTCGGCCACTTGCTGTAGTCGAATCATATCTGCTGTTATGACATCTCGCCGTGCAACAACCCTGACCGTCATTCCCTCATCGCCATTTACGCTGAATGATCCTGGCTGGAAGCACGCTACCACGTCCCTCAGGTTTGACAGTGTCGTATGTACCGCCTCTCTAAGCCCCTCACTAACGATGAGCCATAGGTCCTCTGTGAAGACTGGTCCCCCCGAAAGTAACAGATGCCTGAGAGGTAATGGAGAAAACGGCAAACGTTAGGCTGGTGAAATTGTAATCTATCAAGGTGATAAGTTTTGTAACAATTGCCTTCTGATTTTACTTGGACGGTGTAGAGAGTTGTTAATAAACAGAGCTCTCGATTACCCGCACGATCACATTGGGAATGCACTGGGTATTTTACAACACGACCAGACATATTATATTTGACAAATTGATTCCATGTTGCCGTTCGTAAACTCAGTAATAGATCACAGATGACGTAAAAATATGGTAAGAACCAATAGTAGCGCACCAGGCGCAGCCGAGTGTCACTGGTGACGTCATCCATGAGTCTGTCCTCCAATAGATTATAGACATGAACCGATCAAAGTAAGTGTAAAGTTACACTTTGATCATCTGATAAGTACAGATTATCTGATCATCTGATAAGTACAGATTATCTGATCATCTGATAAGTACAGATTAAAGGTACATTACCTGAGACAAGAACACCCAAGCCTGGCAATTCCCTCCACAGGTTGGGAAACACATTCTAACAACAGGTCCAAAGTTTGTTTGATCATTCCAGGAACGCACTCCGCAGCTCCTGAAATACGTAAGCAATACTGGATATCAATTGATTATCAGTAAGGTTATTTTTGCTGGTTATACAACGATTATGAAAATTCGGGTCACAAAAATGGTAGCATTGGTTTTGAAAAAGATAATTCGGCAGATGGAAAGTAGTTGAGTTTTTTTTTTGTCTACTCTTTGGTCATTTTGAGGAACTATTCACTGGACCATGCAAGGTGTCCAATTTTTGTCCTATAACCTAAGTTAGTTTGGAGGCTTGGCCAGCCCCCTTGGCCCTTTTCTTCCCCTGACGTCTTCACAAGGCTTTCCTAGTAGTTTATAATCCAAAGAAAAAAGGAATTTATTTGCCGCAGTGTTCGCTACAATAGCTTTATTCAAGTTACCTTGGACGCTTAAGAATTGACCGAGTTCCTCCACCACAAGTTCAGTCACGAGACCGCAAGCGTGCTTGAAATTTCCAGCAGTATTCTCCCAATAGCTGCCATCCCTATTTCCTCGCTCGACCCAAGATTCAAGCATTGGAAGCAGGAGATTGGTGACTACATAGATAGAGAAGTGAGGGCCTGGTACCGTAGTGATTGAGCGCAAAATATAAAACAAGACCTCTAATGTTTGGGGCTGAAATTTACAGGGGCATTGAGCGACTACCTTGGTGAGCCCCTCCAATAATAGGAACCACACACGCAGAACTCCAGTGTCGTCGATTGAAGTAATTGAAGCTGCTGAGGTCATAGTTGTGATTGGATTCTTTCCTTTCCGGTTATTTGAGTCGTTTTGTTTTATGGGGCTTAACGTAGGACTGGGAGTGCCTGGAAATTCTGAAGAATATTCCACTAAACGAACTGCGTGTGATCCATGGAAGACCAAACTCGAAGGCATGATATAAATTGAAGCCAACTTCTTTGATATGTTCAATAGGAATTCCAAAGCTGGAAGGCACATCTCGTTGACTGTCTCTAGGTCACTCCTTCCGTTGCTTTCGGAATCACCTCGACCGCCTTCGTAGCTTTCATCGGCCTCCGAACCACGTACGAGCAGGAGAAGCACTTGGATACACTGAACAGCAGCGGATGCGAACACTGACGAGTTCTTGTTCGTTAAGAAAGCCGAGAGAATGTCGAGGATTTGATGATGCTTGCGCTCTGGCTCTGAGCCTTCCGAAGCCTTACGAGAAACGTCTGGCATGTTCCTCAAGGAAAAAAATATTGGCCGCCAGCCAGACTTAATGCTTGTTAGATGAGTTTCCACCAATTGAGAAAGAGTTGTTAATATCTGGCGAGGATAAAAAAAACACCTTAGATACTCGAATTCAAATTGGACGAACCGTGGTTTGTGTACCTGTTTAGAGCTAGCATAATGTAACCATAGCACAAGTTTGAACAATTTTCAATTAAGTGTCGAGAGTAACCCGGGATTTCTTTGATTTTACCTAACTTTGATCTGTGATTGGTCCAGAAAACTCCCGCCATCCTCTCAACCAATCATATGCAAAACTGAAAACTATAGCAAGTTGGTCATACGCGTTTTCCCGCGCTTTAAGTAGTTTGCTTGTTTTCCCTTTGAGTTTCCATCGGCTATTGACAATGTAAATCCTTTTTTTCCTAATAGATCGTTTGGATTACTTTGGTTTTTCGACACTCAATTGAGGACTCCTCTATCATACTAACTTGTTCTTGATCGTCCAATCTGCATGATGTCGAAGACAGGATGCCGTTAAACGGTTTCAAAAGGGACTCGTGGAACCAGAAATGAGGAAGCTCACTGCGATTGCTTAGGAGCTCCGTCGTGATGTCATGAAGGGATGTAATTGCTAGCTTGGAAATATGCCTGTCCTTGTGAGTCGCTGCCTGTAGAGATAGACATTAAAATTAACGTGACAAACTGAAGGAAACCCACACTAATACAGGTCTTCATTTAAGCTAACATTCTTCGCATCAAGAAGCTTGTCGCGGTTTCGGTATATTTAAGATACTTAGGATAGTTCTTTCCCTCCTCTACCCTCCCCTGGACAGGATACTAGATCCGTGCTGGCCATACCTACCTAAAGAGGTAATACTATGACCTGACGAAGATAATGTGAAATAATTAACACAATCTGAAGTCCAGCTCATTGAAACTCAACCCAATGCATCCCTATGACTGACTTGCCGAAGTATTTTGGGCGTTACAAATGGGATGTTTTTGACAAATAATATTATATTCTTAGTAATGAAAGAGCAGTAACCAGGTTCATACATGCACGACGTATAATTCTTAAAGAAGTCAGTTACTTCTAATAATAATAATAATAATAATAATTATTATTTTTTGTTCTAAACATAGTAGCTTGTTTCGTTGCAATAACAGAACTACTCTTTCGTTAATTCGTCTCCCCCGATCAAGCACATGCTGTGTTTAAAATATTCAAAGAGAGGCAAGGAAGTTCCAAAAAAAAAGAAGAAGAAACAATCTAGCGGTCAGTCGGTCATTTGCCTATTCTCTTACACTAACCTCCTCAAAATGGGGTGCTATAACCGCCCATGCTCTCATAAGATGTAACAGCGGTCTGCTGGTATTGCGGGCACTCCTAAGTATCACATCCGCCAGTCGATACAGATGAAGAGTCGTGCTCAAAGATGGCGATTGGCCATTTGCAGCAACAGGCACTCCCCCTCCCTGTGAATTTGAACTTTTTTCCACTACTGGACCAAACAGCTGAGTCTTGGAAGCATAGACCAAAGCCTCTAAAAAAGACAAAAGTCCTTCCAGGTGCAAGGTATTGGCGGCGTGCTCAAAAAGACGATCTACTGCGGCCGAAAGAGCGTAAATGGCACGGGAGGCGTCCGCTGGAGTTAGCAATCCGCCGTTGGAGGGTGCGTGTTCTATACCGTTTTCGGAACTTTGTCGGATAACAGCGGAACCATTCGGAGAGAGTTCTCCGGGGAGGTAGTCTGAAATGCTTGAAGATTCTGACATGGGTGAGGGTATGTCGGGGTTTATTCGGAGAGAGTTCGGCGGCATTGTGTGTGACGAAAAGTCTACAATGCCGCTACTGAAATGCATGCGCTCCAGTTGCGATACGTACGTACAGCATCTATGGAAATAAACGCAGGGTTACCTCTATTTTTTATGTGCAATAATCATACGTTGTTAGTGACAGATGATATCTACGTCATTAAAAATTTACTAATAAGACAAAAATTCAAAGGGTAAGCATTAGTATTGGTCTTACATCTTAAACGTTTTCTTGAAACGCCTAGGATAAGATGAAAACATGGCGAGAGTTTCACAAAACTTTTTAAGTACCTGAACACGTGTTTCCAACACTTTGGCGCATGACTCCCCAGTTCTACTCCAACGGCCAGCAGTCCATCCATACTCAAGACATGCGCGGCATGTAGTTTGATAGATCCTGGTGAAGAATGTGACCTTGTTCTTTTTGCTTCCAGACCCTCTCCTTCACAAGAGGCATTTGCTAACTGGGCGAGAACCAGTTCACAGCGGGTTTGAATTCCCAGTGTGCAGCACAGACGTGCAGCTCGGCGAAGGCCATCCAGGCTGAGGCAGATGGTGTCCCTTTCACGGTTGTGATCCCTCTTGGATTCCCCTCCAAGCATGGCGGCAACGCTATTTGCAGTACCTAATATGAAAAGGTTATACATTTACATATTTGCATTCGTAGTGGCTTGCTAGACTGACGCTTCACTCTGTTTCCATCACATATATTAGTTATTATTCACCACTTTTAATCACTCTTTCTTCAAGATTAGATCAAATCGATCGGTTTGAATCCTTCAAGAAAAGTTTTAGTTCCTAATTCAACATTGTTAAGTAATACCCCAAACACAGTGACACCGATTGCGACTTTCAATTTCAAATCAACATTATGTATTTGAATAGAAAAAGTCCATTGGTCAATAAAGTTTCCTTTATTGACCAATGGGAGAGGACCATTTATTGACCAACGGGAGAGGACCATTTGAAGTACTGTCATTGGAATGTGGCTATGTCTCTTTGTCATTGAGGATGAGGTTTGAGAAAAAAAAACTGGCTGAGGACACTGGCATAAGTGTACAATTTTGGCTTTGAATATGGGCTTTGTAACTCGCACCTCAACATCTCCAAATTAAATTACCAACTATAACTTGTGTCTTGGTGAGTTTTTTTTTCTTCTAAACGACAATGGTCATGCATTTTATACATGTCCCTCTGGCTCAGATCTAAGGGTAACCTCCTCCCACGTCATGACATTGATAAACTGAATTGATCGATTAATTGATTGGTGGTTTGAGGAGGCAGGCTACAAACCCGAGATGGAAGTCTCTAAAGGTGCTGACAGAATCTCCAATACTGAATCCCACGTAGCCAGCAGCACCCTCCGAGCAAACTTCATCCCTTCTCTCTTGGCAGGCGGCAGAGTGCTGGGGTTCTTGTGGTGAAGGAAGGGACTGTCTTCTTCTTCAGACAGCATGTTGTCATTGAGTGTGTTGATCAAGGCACGGTTGGCATTTGGTGAATCCAGTATGAACCCAGCTTTTCCTAATATGTTATATGTGGTAACCAGGCGGTACAATTCAGCCAACCATACCGAGGAGAGACCGATAGGCACGCCGCTGTTCAGAATATTGTCGATGAAGTCGTCCTTAAATATCAAGGGAACATTACAAACATTAGCCGTTTGAGTAGTTGTGGTACTTGATTGGTAGACCGTACCGCGACAAACAAAAATCTATGAATTTGAACGAAATTCCCACCGTCTTGAAATTAAGCTCTGCACAAGGACGGGGACAAAATCCTCTGGTATCTTGAACCACACCCCTCCCTGTAATTTTTTGGTCATCTTTGCTTGGTTAGCTGGGGGAGAGGGGAAGGTTAAAAGAACTCCGTTGTGCATTGTGCCCACTCAAGCACATTAACAGTGAATTTATCTTTCTTTGCAGCTGTCTTCTTCAAACACGCTTTTAAAATCTTAGTAATCGAATTGACTATTTTGAAGATCTGCGTAAATAAAACACGTCTTTTAGGGGACATTATTGAATTTCATTGCTTTATTCCTCAAAATTGAACTCTTTCTCGTCAACGTGAAAGCTGTTTCTGACGTATGTTTATGATGAAACCCAGAAATTGAAGGAATCTGCAAGCGATATGAATCAGTATAGCTGTTTTCTTTCTTACCTGAGCTAATCCTGGCATGGCTTGTTTCTTCTGATAGTAACCAGTCTTTAATAGCTTTAAATTCAACGATAACGTAGCGTATACGGTCACATAAACACCATCCGCGTTCAGAATAGGAAAGCTGGGATCCGAAGTCGCTCCTTCTCCTGACTTTTCATCGACCAAATCCGATCGTCCCCGAAGTGTCCCGAAGTTTGGAACGTTCTTTCGTTTGAGTGCCATGCACGTAACCGCTTCGCAGACATCGGAAGCGAACTGCTGCAAGGCCTCGTCAACAGCTACTGGATCAGACAGACTTAACACAGATGGAAGAATGCCAAGCAAACAACGAGCAAAGTTCCTTGCACCTTCTTTCTCGTTTTCCTCAACACTTTTTTTGACATCTCTTACTTTCTTTTTATCCGGTGATTTGGCCGACGAAGAGTTTTCGTTTCCTTTCTTAACATAAACGCCGTTGATTTTTACGCCTTGTGATGAATTTTTCTTGAGCGTATTAGTGTTGGGCGAATTAGGCTCGTCTATACTCTGGCTCTTCTGCAGAATTCCCTTCGGCTTATCTCCGTTGCCATTCTGTAGTCTACGATCGTATTCGGAAGCCGAACGAGTTCTACGAAGTGTGGGCCGGGAGCCTTTAGTTGGCGATCGGTCTTTTTCTTTTTCTCTCTCCTCCCTCAAAGCCTTTTCTCTTGCTTCTATTTTATTGGCTTTAGATTCAACATATTTCCTGTGTGTCGGTGATGTTTGATCTAAGGGTTTTCTGTTCATAGGCTCGACTATTTTCCCATCATTTGATAAGCGCCTTACTCCGGGCTTAGCATTGAATGACGAGTCACCGGAAGCCTGCGTGCGCGGCCTTGGAATCCCTCCTCTAATGTTACGTTTCTGTTGACTGCTTGTCCTTTTCTCATTATCAGCCGAAGAAATTTCAAAGTTTTCAGTGGCAAGCGCTGCCCAAGAATTTGATTTCCTCAAGGGAAACCGTTGTAGATTAGAAGAGGAACTCTTACGAGCGGAAATGTCGTTGTCAGAGAAGCATCTGCGTAAAGCAAACTTGCCGTCTCTTTTAGAGCTGTTTTGTGCATCTGATTCTAAAAGGTTTGTTTTTCTTTCCTGCAGTGCGCCAGTATCTGAACCAGCGCGCTCCCGTTGATGCGCATCCCCATTCATGGTACGTTTTTGCACGGTCGGTTTCTGTCGCGTTTTACTATCAAAAGATGAGGAGCGTTTCACAGTTGTACGCATGTTGCCTTGAGAATTGGAACCAACTCTTTTAGGGAGGCTGCTCTTGCGGGGAATCCCTGATCGGGATGCATTACCAAACCGCGTGTTTTTGATATTCTCGAATTCGTGTATTTCAAACATGGCGATTTCGTCTTCTGACGCGAAGTGGACGCTTTTAGGAGTGAGGGGTCTGATTTCAGGTTCTTCATCTGAAACTTAAAAGATTGAAGCATATTTGTTAACACGTAATATTTTACGTTTTCAGAGGCACTCTTCAGCTGCCCCTCAGATCAGAAATAAAACCCTACATCAGCGTGCTGTGTATGACATCCTATATCAGTGACACCTACCCAAGCCCCAGTCTCCTTCACAACCATTGTTTTGCCTTTTCTCGTCGCAAAGCGTTTTCGAGTGTGAGGAGCCCAAGCAATTGCAAGGGCTGCCAAGGAGACTACTGAGCCCCCGCATTTATAAAACGTGACCAGCGTACCGCACTCAGAACTGTTTTCTTTGATTATCCTTCAAACAGGATGCGAACTCGTGTATCTCAACTTCGGTTTTGACGGTGTTGTTGATTTGAATTTTAGATCGTTAAACATCAACGCTTACGCCAACCCCGGATAAACTTAGCCATTTTTCGAACAACTCAGCCGGAGAGTGAAAAAATTTCCTGAAAAAAAAAACGTCTCAAGTGGCTCACCATCAGTCTTGAGTTCTCCATCGGTAAGGCTATCCCAGGCCCCTCCGTTTTCTTCAAAGCGCTCGGTTAGAGATTCAATATCCCCGTCAGGGGATCTCTGAGAATTCATTTCCCACCGGTTACCACGTCTATAGGCACTCCTTTCTCTGTTGAGTTTTCCATGAAGAGAACTTCCCGTTTCTCGAGCAGAAGCGGCATTATCGTATTGTTCCTTGAGCACCTCCCAATTATCAGTTTCTTTCATTTTACTTAAAAATTCAATGTGTTCGTCACTCAAGCCTCGTCCCTGACTCAAGTCCTCTAAGGATCCCAGCAACGCTACCACGCATGCTACACTACAGCTGGCCACTGTACTGTCGGCGCAGCGGGTAGATTCCACGATGCCATCCATCAAACTAAGAAAAAAGTTGATTAGATTGCTTAACGTTTTCTTTTAAAGAAGTTAGCCTGTCTTAGTTATCATAAGTAAACTAACACTCCAATTTCAGATTCAACGAGGAGGCATTGGACAAAGAGCCATTTTAAAGAAGTGTAATTGTAAGAGGCCACTCAGTGAGTCCATGATTGTACTGATTTGTCACAAGACGCTTAGCATGGCTTGTTCTAGTACACAAAATTGGATTGCCTTTACCGGTAAAAGACAATGATTATACGCCTGTTTCCCTTTGGAGCTAAAAAGGTAAAGTTGCACAAGGTTTCCCTTAGTTTTAACCGTAATGATGCTAAATAAATAGCTTAATTGACATTTTGCAGTGGCACTTGTAAGATGTAGATATTCGTTCACTGTACTCTAGGCTGAAAATAGAATTTTGTCGAAACACTATAAAGTTTGTTTTCAATCTCTGATCTCAAATGAAACACTGTTCTTTGAACAAATAAGAACCCACTCTCTCAAACACTTACAGTCGCAGCAAATCCAATTCCGTTTTCTTCTGCTCGGTCGGTGAGTCTGGTGACGGGGGATTGTCTTTGTCAATAATCGTTGGACCCGCGGCATCCAACAGCCGCTGAGGACTAGAAAGGAACTGGAGACGAAAAAAAAAAATGAGATTTGATTTAAACAAAGATTGTAGTACCTTTATATTGCTACGCGCAAGTGAACTAAGGGAAAAGGCCTGAGACTGATTGCAATCACGACTAACAGGAACCACAAACCTCTGTGGCTTCTCTATCTATGGGACAGAAAGCGATTTCTAAATTAATCAAGGGAATGAGGATGTTATTTCATTGTGGAAGGGTCTGGTCCATTTTATACGATAAGCTGAATCATTCCCGCATTAACAAATGGTAAACACCACAGCGTACACTATTGAGTTATGGATGCACGCGGGAGGTTGCTAAGCACGAAAGAAGCGTAAGAGTCGCTCGAGGCGATAGCCGAGAGCGACTCTAGCTTCTTGAGTGCTTAGCAAACCTCCCAAGTGCATCCATAACTCAATAGTGTACGCTGTGGTGTTTACCATTTGTTTTATAACATAACATTGATACATTGTAGCTAAAGAGTTCCCTTTTATTTAACAAATCTTACGTGACCAGAAAAAACAAGCGCGCGCGGAAAAATAGTCTTTGCATTTGCTCACGTCAGCAGCGTACACCCATGGGCAAATGGGGGACGCTAAATTGACCAATCAGAGCGCGCGCTTTACTTTGGTTATGTTATAA